CCGCTTTCGGCGCCCCGGGGCGGCCTCGGGGGCCCCGCCAGCCTGGTCCCGGGAAGAGGCGGAGGGCTGTGTGGCAGTGGGTGGCTGGCTCATCCCGTGCCAGGTGCAGAGTCTGCTGGCTGGGTGCTGGCAGGCTTGCATCCGGCACGGGCACCGTAGCCAGACCGTGCCCCTTTTAGGGCTCCGGGGCCGGGAGGGGGGCAGAAGAGTTTCCCTGGTTGTGCCCAGAGTGGCCACCAGGGCAACCTGGGAAGGGCTAGCCTCCCACTAGTTCGAATTAAGTGGTTACACAGCCCTTAATTCGAACTACTTAATTCGAACTAGGTGTTAGTCCTCGTAGAATGAGGTTTACCTAGTTCGAATTAAGCGCTCCGCTAGTTTGAATTAAGTTCGAACTAGCGGTTTGCATGTGTAGCACCTATGAAAGTTAATTTGAACTAATGGCTGTTAGTTCGAATTGACTTTGTAGTGTAGACATACCCCTAGAGACTGATAGTAGGAGCAGGAATTGCAGGGAAAACAGGCTGGAAGAACTCAGTTGCATTGACAACTTCATGTCCCTGCAGTTCAACTAAAATAGGGGCTAGGGGCACCAATCAGATTCCAGGACTGGAGCTCTTATTTGTTAACAAGATGGGGCTGCCTAGTATTTCTACACAGCAAAGGAAAACCTGTGGCTGAAATGAATAAAACAGCCCCATTGCCCAACCCCCACTAGCTTGAGTTGGCTAGATATATCAGTCACAAGATTTTCTTTGCTATGTAGACATATTCTGGGGTTATGTCTACACTGTGGGATTTTTCCGGGATACTAGAGGCATCCCGGAAAAACTCTGCCGCGTCCAAGGAACGCATTTGCTTTTCCGCTTTTTTTTTGTGTGTGGAAGAGCAAACGTGCTCTTTCGGGGAGTCCTGTATATCTCATTCCATGAAGGATAAGGGCTCTGCCAAAAGAGGAAGCTTTTCCACCATTTGGCCCCATCTAGATTGGACGCAGCAGAGTTTTTCTGGGATGCCTCTGGAGAGCGCAATTTGCATAGCTTTTTCCCACAAAGGACTGTAGTGTAAATCTAGCCTGAGTGTCCAGGACCTAGGTTAAAGAAGTCCAGTTCCAGATGCTACATGAAGTCCATTTTTATCTCTGACAGCACAATTGCTAGTTACTATAGAAATGATGCAATGTCAGAAACTTGGCATTTTGAAGCGGGAAAAACATAGCAGGAAGAGAGAAGCAAAGTTTTAGTTTTCCTATAAAATGCAACTGTGGTTCACAAAATGCCAACACTGCATTATGCCCAAATCATGACCCATGTGTTGTTACATCATTTTCAATGTAACACTGTGTATAATGGAAGCAACCAAAAAGTACTCTTCCTGATACAAATATGTCACAGGATTATAGAATCATTCATTCCCCAGTACAATGTATCCTGCTATCCATGGTAAGACTATGGACGATTACATTTTAAATGGCCTCCTCCACTGTAAAAATATTAAACATTGTTTTTGGTAATAAAAATGAAGAAATAAAGGAAATGTATCATACAGAAACCAAACTATTTATAAATAGAATAATTCAAAGCTTTCAATTATTAGCAGTATGTTAATAAGTAGTATGCAAGTGATTTCCAATCTCAGTGTATTCACCAAGTTCACTTCTAAGATGAATTAGTTCAATTACATAGCATTTTCATGTCAAAAAATAAGTGCTTTGAATGTATCAAAGCTGTCGTTTAACAGTTTTTATATAACATACATAGAAAAACTAGATAAAAGAGATTTACTATAATTAATAAAACTTGTACTTCCTCATTGATAATTAAACTAATATAGAATTTTATTTGAAAAAATATGTGAATTATACAGATGAAAAATTCTTAAATTTAACAACTTTGTAAAATTCTATTTGTATAAATTAGCTATTTTTTTTTCTCTGAATAACATGGACATTTCTTCTAGGCATCTACATTTTCTTCTCAGGGTAAAAAAAAAATATTTCCAAGGCAGTTCTTACTTATTTGCAATATAGATAATTTTGTGCTTCTCAATTGTATTAATGTCATGCTCCAGTTGTTTCATCTGTGTTTCCAGCCTTTGTTTATGGATCTTCTTTGGTAAGGTGTCTATTTCTACCGAAAGGCCCTGAAACTCATGATGTACTTCTTCCCAATTCTTTTTCAGACCCTAAATTCATTATATGAAAAGAAAACTGGTAAGAATAACTTATTTTGTTGAAATGTTAACATTCTGCCCTGTGATATGTGCTGACCTCTCAGTAATACTCAACAGAAGTTAAAATAATTGATTAACATCCGGATAATATATAATGGGGTCAAATAAATGGACATAATTCACTAATACCTTAAATCAATATAGTAATAGCATGGATGAATTTGGCTTGGTGTCCTAAAATATGCACTACGATCTAAGCAATGAATACCTTTTAGTGAATTTAAAATGGCATTCTGAAGTGACTACATTTTGCATTACAAGATTTGCTTTATCTGTATGCTCATAGCATGTATTTGTGCATGTTTGCATTTTATTTGTAATGGCTATTTTCAAAGTTGTTAATGATAATCTGGTAATGTAATCTGTAAATTATTTTGTTAAAGACTATGGCAGCATATGCATCTAAAGGCAGAATTTGGTCCTGTTTACTTGCTGGTTTATAATGTTATTTTTTTTTTTACAATTAAAGGCAGTAAAATATATGTATGAAGCTAGTTGTAGTTCAGCAGACATGAGGAATTCTTTACTATTTTGCATTTAATAATCAAAAGGAACATAGGATTTCTGAAACCTTTCTAGAAGTGTCATTAATTTGTCATTTAGAGTCACCTTTGTGTGCAATTCAGGCCTAATCCTGCCACACTGAAGACACTGGGGCTACGTCTACACTGGCATGATTTTCCGAAAATGCTTTTAACGGAAAAGTTTTCCGTTAAAAGCATTTTCGGAAAAGCGCGTCTAGATTGGCAGGATGCTTTTCCGCAAAAGCACTTTTTGCGGAAAAGCGTCCGTGACCAATCTAGACGCGCTTTTCCACAAAAAAGCCCCGATCGCCATTTTCGCGATTGGGGCTTTTTTGCGGAAAACAGTACTGTGCTGTCTACACTGGCCCTTTTGCGCAAAAGTCTTTCGGAAAAAGACTTTTGCCTGAATGGGAGCAGCATAGTATTTCCGGAAAAGCACTGATGATTTTACATGAGTTCGTCAGTGCTTTTCCGGAAATTCAAGCGGCCAGTGTAGACAGCTGGCAAGTTTTTCCAGAAAAGCTACTGATTTTGCGGAAAAACTTGCCAGTCTAGACACAGCTTGGTAGTTTTTGCATGAACTCCGGTATACAGACCTATTATAGTTTATTTCCTCCTGGAAGAACTGGGGAGTCCAAAAAGTAGGATGTTGTATTTATCCAAGGCTATGTCTAGACTGCAGAGTTTTTCCAGGATACCTCTGGTATCCCAGAAAAGCTCTGACATGTCCAGGGAATGCATTTGCTTCTTTGGAACAGTTTCTAAAAAAGCGTGCGCGTTCTTTCGGCATCCCTGTATTCCTCTCAGTGAGAGGAATAAGGGATGTTCCAAAAGAGGAGGTTTTTCCAAAATTTGGCCCCAGGTAGACAGGCCAAATTTCGAAAAGCCTCTTCCAAAAAAAAAAAAAAAAGCGAAAAAAGATACATGAATTGCGATTCGCAATTTGAGTATCTTTTTCTGAGAAAACTCTGCAGTCTAGACATAGTCTAAGACTCAAAAGGTACTAAATCTGCAGCTGGATCCCTTGTGTTGGATCCCTTCAGCTGCCTGGAGCATCACTGAAGCTATGGGGGAAAGGATCCAGAACTGAAGCGTCAAAGGGAACATATCTATAAAACTTTAGAGCATCTGAAACTTCTGAAATTTGAGTCAGATCAGACTGTTTGCCCAGCCCTACCGATAATTATTTTAGAGCTCCATCTAGTGAAAAGCTAGACAACTCAAATGCATTGTTTCATGTACACAACAGTACTGTATTTCAATTCATTGTAATACTTTCCTTCTACGTACATGGAAATACAAATCTAATTTGTTTTTGTACTTATCTTTATTAAACCTAAATCAAAATGCATACCTGTAGGAGACTTTCCCTTTCTTCATCAGAGAGCCGTTTCATGGCTTTTTGTCGTAAAGTCTCCTTGACATAGGCATCATACTCTTCTTGGGCTTTCTTTACCTCCTCATTTCGCTTAATTACATATGTGGGAGTAAGACCATAATCCTGAAAAGTCAAGGGAAAAGTTCCCTATAGAAACTTATAAGAAGAAATAAATGAACAATATGATATAAATATTATCACTAATGCCATTTTAAATGTACAAAGTTAGCTTACAATACCATAATATTGGTTATTACTACAGAAAAATAAAAAATCATGTCAGGGTCGTCTTCTGAAAAACAGCAAGCCTGATTCTTCTATAGCCTGTCCAAAGTCTGTGAAAATTATTCTCATCAATTTTATGCACCAGGCCTCAGAACCAGGAAGAAGTAAAAATTGAAACCTCCAGATCTAAAGGCTGATAGAAGACTCACTGAACAGCTTTACACCAGTAAATCAGAGTGCAACTATTTTATATCTATATTTTCATGACATCAAATGCCATACTCTGACATGTACATTCCTTTGCTTTACATGTATACAGATTTTTGCTGTAACATGATATACCATACAAAAGGGTCAAAATGTTTAACACAGTGCTCTGGTCTATACTAGGGCTGTGTCTACATTGGCGCGATCTTGCGCAAAAGCGACCACTTTTGCGCAAAAATTTGCTGCCTGTCTACACTGGCCGTGAATTCTTGCGCAAGTACACTGATGTTCTAATGTATGAGATCAGTGCTTCTTGCGCAAGAACTCTGATGCTCCCGCTCAGGAATAAGCCCTCTTGCGCAACTGTTCTTGTGCAAGAGGCCAGTGTAGATAAGCAACATGAATTTCTTGAGCAAGAAAGCCCTATGGTTAAAATGGCCATCAGAGCGTTCTTTCACAAGAGAGCGTCTACACTGGCATGGATGCTCTTGCGCAAAAGCACATCTCTTGCGCAAACACACATGGCAGTGTAGACACTCTCTTCTGGAAGAGTTTTTGCACAAGTACTCTTCCACAAAAGAGTTCTTGCACAAGATCATGCCAGTGTAGACGCAGCCCGGGGCTTTATTTTGAAATAACCCCCGTTAGGTCAAATTTATAAGCAGAGCATCCACACTACCAAGCCTGCTTTTTCTAAATAACAGGCCACTTATTTCAAAATCTGTACTCCTGCTTTCCTTGGGAAGTAACACTAATTTCAAAATAGTATTAGTGTGGACATTCTGGTGCTGCTATTTTGAAATAACTATTGCTCAGAGTAATATGAACTAATTACTCCCCAGTGCTTCCTGGGACTCTAAGTCAAAGTCGGGCATCCACATTAACGGAACCTGCCTTGGACTAATTTTGAGGCTTCCCCATAGTGTGGTCATGCTAGTTCGAGTTTGTTAAATCAGGAATTATTAAATTGATTTTAGTTATTTTGAAATACACGTTGAACCTCTCTAGTCCAGAACTCTCTAATTTGGAAACATACATCATCTAGAATGATTTTAGTTAGCTGGATGTCCACTTTTCATGGGTGTGGCCAAGCTTCCCACAATCCCATAAAGTTTGTTTATAGCCAGCAGTCCTGGCTCTCAGTGTTCTGTGCTGTTATTTAGCTCTAATTTACCCCTAAAAGTCTTCTAGCAAGCCAGTAAGCATTGGAAATGTTGGTAAAGCTGTTAAATAATATTGACCTCCCGTGGTCCAGAAAATGTTCTGGTTTGGAAATGGTCAAGTCCTGAGGGTGCCAGATTAGGAAGGTTCAACCTGAAGATTCCTAGTGTAGACGTGCCCATTGTAGTACAGAGACAGTTTCAAGGTGATTATGTTTCAAGGTGATAGGTTACTTCAGAAGATCCCAGATGTGCAGGGGAACATACCAACTACATCATCCTTTAGATTGATGCATTGTATTCTCATTGCACCCAGCTAGATCTGATGTATGAGGCAAAATCTCAATTCGTCCCCATCTTTGCCGTGGCTTGTGACCTATGTAGTGGTGGAAGGAACTGTGACCATGGTTGGCCACTGCATATGAGATGCAAGGAATGGGAACATTTTTTCTCCTTCCCCTGTATTTGCTCACTTGTCCAGCTACTAGGCATAAGAGTCCTATGAATTCTGTAGGTAGTATACAAAGCATACAAAAATGCTCTTGACTGAAATGTGGCTTTACATATTAAAATTTACTTTTAAAATGGATCTTTCAAAGCATCTATAAGCATCAGTATAGCTTCAAATGTACATTTCTGCATAAATTAATGGGTAAGGAAACAGAATATACGCAATTTCCTTTGTGATGTTTTATAAGGTTTTTCAAATGAATATTTTGTTCTACACAGAAATTCTGCATTTCTTGCAAGTTTTATGATCTGAAGATGGATTGTTACTCCTCTTTTAGACATAAAACAGATGCTCAGGTGTATGGGAATGTGTGTGATTGGGTAAAAGAGACAGCATACAGCAGTTTACTCAGTCTTACCCAACTTTTGTAGATGGGAGTATAAGGATATTAATCCTAATCAAAGTTCATTTCACAGTTCATAAAGATACAATTATTTAGATGTGAGTTGATATTTATGAATGCTAGGCAAATGTATTAGATAAAGACATTCCAGTAACATTCTGGAAAATACATTACATTTTGTAGATATTTTGCAAGTAGTGAACCAATGAATATTTCAATTTTAGCTTTTGTTTTGTTTTGTTATACTGGAGGCTCAAGGTCCCCTGAAAGCTGACAGACATTTTTCTGCTTTGTCTCCTTTCTCCCTCTGGCCCAAGCTGCATGCCACAACCACCAAGCAGTGAATGGAAAGTCTGGGCTCTATTAGAAGCCTACCAATATCACTCCTGAAATGGCATATGGTTGCTGCAGAGCAACATAAGGAATGTTTCCCCAGTTATTGAGCATACTGCCTTTGCAATACTTCTTTGCTTGCCCAGGAGAGAAGTGAGAGTAAGTCAGCTTCGTCTTCCCTACAGAGATAGATTACTGTAAGGTAGCTTATGTTGACTTAATTATGTCAGTGTGCATAGTACAGCCTTGCTCCTGCTGATATAACTGGCCTACTACACCAACCTAATAACTCCACCTCCAAGAGAAGTGAAGGGCCTCTGCTGGTGTGGTGAGAGAGAAGCAGTGTCTGAGTAGACTGTGTAACTGTGTTACTTAAATTACTGTTGGCTGTCATTCTTGTGTATGTCACAGCTCCATGCTGATGCTATAAAGTTGACAAGAAAGTCGAGCTGTCCCTGGAGGCAAGGGAGGGGCTCCTGCTAGTCTTGCTGCTTCCCAGGCTTTCTGCTGGGGTGTGCCTACCCTGCTGCTAACTGGACTGCTGCCCAGAGGCTCCCAGATCCCCATAGGGAACCCAGGTACTGCCTGGATGCTCCTAGCTCTTCTCTGTTGGGAGCCCATCTGCCCACTTGGGGGTCTTAGCTCCCCACGGAGTTTGGCTCCTGGAGGAGAGCTCTGGGTCTGAAGTCTGAGAAGCTCATAGTTCAGAGCTGGGAGCCTTTGTGCAGCCACAGGATTCCCCATGGGATCAAGAGTCTCGGGGCAGCCGTCAAGCTTCCCACAGGGGCTATGTCTAGGCTACACATCTCTGTCAACAGAGAGATGTAGATTAGGCATGTCGAAATTGCTAATGAAGCAAGGATTTAAATATCCCGCACTTCATTAGCATAAACATGGCTGCCACTTTTTTTCGAAATTGAGCTTTTTTTAAAAAAAGGCAGTCTAGACATGGATCTGTCGAAAATAAATCCTTTTTCGACAGATCCTGTAAACCTCATTTTTTGAGAAGTACAGGATCTGTCAAAAAAGGGTTTATTTTCGACAGATCTGTGTCTAGACTGCTGGTTTTTTTCCCGAAAAAGCTCCATTTAGGAAAAAAGTGGCAGCCATGTTTATGCTAATGAAGTGCGGGATATTTAAATCCTTGCTTCATTAGCAATTTCGACATGCCTAATCTACATCTCTCTGTTGACAGAGAGGAGTAGTCTAGACACAGACAGGGAGACTCTGGACAGCACCTATGCTCCCCATTACTGCTGTGGTTGTAAATTGACCTAATGTAGGTTGATTTACTTTTCTAGTGTAGACATGCCTTGATACTCTACAGCATAGCATGCTGGGCAAATTTCAAATGGAAAGGAAGCCTGGTTTTGGTGAAAATATAAGGAAAATTAATGTATCTGGGAAAATGTAATTACAAAGCTCAATCCCGAATAAAAGGTCTTTCTATAACTTAAAATGTTACACGGCTGAAAAAACTGACTTTTTAGCTTGTCCAATTGGCTAGGACATGGATGTTAGTACAGGACATGGGGAAGCAGCAGGCACAATTCTCCCTCCAGGACTGAGGTTTGATGCAGTGCTATACCACAAAGATCTCTACGACAGTGGTTCTCAACCAAGAATACACCTGCACCTGGGGGGTATTCAGAAGTCTTCCAAGGTTACAACAACTCATCTAGATATTTACCTCTTTTTACAGCAAGCTATATAAAAAGCATTAACAAAGTTAGTACAAACTAAAATGGCATACAATGACTAATTTATACTGTTCAATATACTAGACAAAGAAATGTAAGTATAATATTTATATTTCAGTTGGTTTATTTTATACTTTTATGGTAAAGATAAGAAAGTAAGCAATTTTTCAGTAATAGTGTGCTGACACTTTTTATTTTTACATATGATTTTGTAAGCAAGTAGTTTTTAAGTAATGTAACATTTGGGATATGCAAATCAGACTCCTGAAGGGGTAAAGTAGTCTGGAAAGTTTGAGAGCTTCTGTTCCATGACATGTACAGTGGTGGAGAATCCCTGTAAAAAGTGTCTGTCTGAGCTCCTTCTTACTGGACTCACCATGTCCACTTACCACCACAGGACTGACTCAGTATAGGCCAGTCTCTTAGTCCTTTGCAGCAGGCCCGGCCCTTGTGGGCCTCCTTACTTTGTTTACAAGTGGGGGGAAAAGCAAAAATTCAGATTTAACACAAAGCAAGTTCCTTCTGGGGTCAATAAAAAGAAACTTTCTGTGGCACTGCCTTACTCCAGGGGTACTTGAGCAGCAGCTTTGTCCTTATGTGCAGCCATCACAGGGCACGTGGTCTGTAATCAGCAAAAAAGCAGTCCCAAAAAGTAATAATTTAAAGTATCCATGGCCCACCTGGTCCGCAAGGCTTCCTTTTCAATTACTGAGTATGCCTTTTCACATGGAAATAATTTGAATCAGGTGCAGTATGGAGTGTTCGTCTTCGTCGATGATCTGTATTGCCCCCCACACCTCATTCAACGTGTCCATCTAAGTCCTTTGAAAAGTCTGGGTTGAAGAGCATATGTTTGCATCATAACCTCTTTTGTTATGTTCTATACTACAGGCATACTGCAAGCATCAAACCACTGCACCTTCTGTGGTTTCCCATCGGATCTGGGGGGGAGAGGGGGAGGAGAGGGGTGGACTGCAAAGTTTGGCATGAAGTGCCTGTAATATCCAGCCAAATCCAGAAATTGTCTAACTTACTTCTTAGTCATTGGCCTCATATAGTTATCTTAAGCCTGTATTTTGTCCACAGCTGGGCATATATGTCATTTTCCCACAGTATTCCCAAGTAGGTGACATCAGAGGCCCTAGTTTAGCCCTTAGACTGATTGGGAGCTCGGCTGTTGCTGGTGATCAACTGCAAGATTTCAATAATGCTGCCATGGTGGCTGTCCCAATCTTGGCTACATATAACTATTTCATCTGAATAAGCAGTGGCTTATTGCCCACCTATGAGAACCTGGTCCAGAAGTCTTGAAAGGTTGTTACAGCTTCATGTAGCCCAAATAGCATCATTCAAAAGTGGTACAGCCTGAATGTTGTGGCAAATGCAGTTTTCATTTTGGACCCCAGAGCCCACAGAATTTACCCTATACCTTTTTGTAAGATGAAGTGTAGATACATACCTTGCCATCCCAAAGTGTTCCACTAGCTCAACTATCCTAGGCACGGGGCCTATGTACTAACTTCATCAGTGCTTTAAAAAACAAAACAAAACAGTAGGTGCTCAGCACCCACCGACAACCTTGCAGAGCAGCTCCTCTGTGGTCCTCCCACAGCCTCGTGCCCACTGATGGCTCAATGATTAGTTCTGGGGATGTTAAAATTTGTTTATTTTGGTAAATGTTACCTGCTGAAATTGTCAACAGGTACATGTTTACACTCAGGAGGAAGGAGAGACCAGGTGGCTCCATAGGAGCTAGTGCGCAGGGGCTCCCCATGAGTACCAGCTCCCGCGGAGCTGCCTTCACTCTCAAGCTGCTGCCTCTGTATGAGAGGCAGCAATGTGGGGGGAGGGGGGGGAGAAAGGGGCAGGTGGGAGCTGGTGACTCAGGCTCACGGAGTTTGAGCACTAGAGTTAAAAACTGCTGTGTAGCTGTCTGGGTTTCAGGCATGACCTGAACCTGAACACCTACACAACTGTATTGCAGACCGAATCAGCTGAACCAGTCTTTTATTCCAGTGTAGATGTACCCTAGAAGCCCAAGCTCTAAATAGGGCTTGGCTGCCAGCTGTGCAACAAGGAGTCGGAGAATCCTGAAAATCCTGTTTCCATCCACAGGTCTCAGGGTTTCCAAGCAGGCGGCCACAAGACTGGGCCAGACAGTCTGTGTGGTAGGACTACCCCAGAACCACAAACTCTGGGTTATGCCATCTTCTCATATGTTTCTTCTGAGTTTCACTGCAGCCTAGTATGGTCTCTTTAAGGGCTGCCATTCAGGATTACAGTGGTGAAGCTGTCATAAATCATATCAATTTCACTCAGCTACCCTTGGTGTTCATACTAGGGATGTAATAGTGTAATCGATTAACTGGTTAACCAATAAGCAAACGCTTATAGGTTAATACTATAGACTACATGCATTTCCCTCCCCCCCACCCTTGTCAGTAAATTTTTTAGCAGGCTGGCCAGCAGCCCGGCTCAGTTCCAGCTCATGCCAGGTCTAGAACCTACCCCTGCTGTAGCTCTGCATTTAAAGTATATTAGGAGCTAGGTCGGCAGACAGCCGGGCTCAGATTGACTTGCACTGGGTCTAGGAGCTCAGATCCTCCTTAGACAGGAGCTGCTGCCACCCCACACAGTTGCCTCTTTCTCAGAGGCAGCAGCACCAGCCGACAGATAGCCAGTCCACAAGGGGAGCTGGTTTTGAAACTGGCTCTCCTTGTGAACTAACTCACGTCTGGCACCGTACGCTGCCTCTGATAAAGTGGCTGCAGGCCCCACCTCCGGGACTATGGAATAGTTAACTGATAAAAATCATGAGGTTACTTCACTATTCAATTAACCAATATTTAACATCCCTAGTTCATACTTGGTTATTATTTGGGCATTCTGACAAAAGTTTGTTCACAATACAAGATAAGGGGAATGAAAATATTCAAAAGTGTATATCTGACCTAAACCTGAACTAAGTTTCATGGTAAAAAGAAAAAACTCTTGCTGGTCCTAAGGCTTTCCTCTTCGTGAACTTCAAAAGTCTGCTGCAAACAGTGGAGTATTATCCATTCTCAGAAAAAGTCAGATGCATTTTGTAAAATGCAACCCATTTTATGTTAGGCAACCCAAATATAACTCCCCCTATAATTTGCAAAACATACCTTTTTATTAATGTATTTTGGAACAAGTCCTGAAGTTTCAAGGAGATATTTGTCTCCTTGTCTTCTGTCAACACAAATAGGTTGAGGCTTCTTAGCCACTCCCATGATAACATTTGCTGCATTTGTATTCATGAAATTCTTTTTACTCTGAATTCCCATAAGTGGGTGATCTGTCACATGTGGCACTGGTGGTATTGTCAGCATCCTCTTTCTTCCTTCATCTTGTTTTCCTGTGGAATTAAGCATATAAACACCCTTGTAGCTAATATAAAGCAGTAAGTAATTTTCCAGTGTCAGCATTCTCAGGTATCTCAAGTGGAAGTATCAACTAAAACTGAAAGAAAAAATGCACAGAACTACTCTTAAATGAAAATGAACTAGGTTAACAACATAAGAATGGGTTAGGGAACCCTATTCAAGTTTTAAAATCATTGGGTTAAGACAATGTCCATATGTAATTTCCTCATTTTTGTGAATAACGATTTTTAACTTTCTAAATTTGTATAATTTGGTTTAAAAATATATTAATGACCAATTTATAAAATGGCTGATGTATAATCCAAATTGAATATTGAAATAAAGCACACCATCAATCTTAAAATCCCACTTGTTAGAATTTTTCATGTACTATTTTTACACCTAATATCTCAGATGACTGTAGCCAAAAGAGATGATTTTTCCCTATTTTCAGTTTGCTTTGTGCATTCAACTGTGCTTTCTATATAGTCAGTTGTACTGTTTTCCAGTCAACTGATTAGTCACTTTCCCTTGTTGTTGTTTAATGATTTTACACAGCAAAAGAAGGTAGAAAAAACATTTTAAAAGAATATAGAGCAACGCTTATAAAACTGCAAATATTAGTAAGAACACGAGGCCAGTTATAGTTCTGTATATAGAACAATTTTAAACTTTAAAAGCATGACTAGATTTCAGGTTGATGGGTTCACTTTCAATATGGTTACAAATCCTAAAAATACAAGAAACATATGTTACTTTTCACATATTTATGCCAAAAACATACTCTGTAGTAGCTTTGGCTCCTTTGAATGCTTCTGAAGAAAGTTTTTTGGAGATGGTACTTCAATTTTTGCTGGTCCCATAGTTTTCCATGGAGCTCTACTTTCTTCTATTTCATGTTTCACAGATGGTCTAAATGTTGATATATATCTTTAATGTTAAAAAATAATCAGAAAGTTAAAAGTGAGAAAGTATTATAAAACACGTATTGCAGTCTATCGCTAATATTAAAATATTTTTATTTTTATATATATATTTGTATTGTGTTTAAACATTTTTTGTAAGCCTCATTGAATATTTTAAATAGAGAGGTGAGATAAAAATATTTAAATAAATAAATACAAATCAATCAATAAATAAATGTTGCAGTTCCACAACTGCGTAAGAAAAATTAAACATTATAGCAACATTTTAAAGAGATAAAAGCATAAATTTGCATTACACACTTTGCTTGGTCTTCTTTTTAAATCATCTACTTTTTAAAATGACATCTTTCTTCACCTTTCCAGCAGGATTAGCACATCAACTTCATTATACTTTTCCCAAAGATCACTGAAAACATGCATACAGTTTTTCTGAAGGAAGACTTCAACTACATTCATGAGACATTTTAGAGTGGAGCACGTATAGCAGGCAGGGATGGCCTTAGGTTTTACGGGGCCCTATGCAGTACTATTAAACTGGTGCCCCTATGCCTGATGACAGCCAGATTGGGAGGTGAGGGGAGATGATGATTTTTTAGAGATCGGATTTTATAATCTTCAGACATACAAATCATAAAATATTTTTAAAACAAATAAACAAAGGTCTTTTAGAAGAACACAATAAATTTGGAAACTTACAGTATACACTGAGGCTACGTCTACACTGGCATGATTTTCTGGAAATGCTTTTAACGGAAAAGTTTTCTGTAGGGTAAACTGAGGCAGCCCTAAATGTGCTAGTAGGCCTCTAAACAGCATAACTCCATTCTAGGATTAAAGCCTGGGAACACCACAGTCAGGATAAGAACTGCAGACAGTAAAAGATCCTGGGTACCATAGCAACCATGTTCTAAAACACTCGGACAGGGTCTCAGTTGGTAACGTAACACATTTTGCTTAAGATAACATTCATAAAATTTGCTTAAACTGTCTTGCTTCACTCCTAGATAATAAGCCTGAGAACCAAGTGCTGCACCAACTCAAGGCCATACCCGCCTGCTATAGCAACATCATCATCTATGCAGACTAAAATGTTATTACTGTTTTGCTGACATGTTTTGGCATTTGAACAATAACCACCTGTATATTAATTAACGAGCTGTTACTTTGCAATGGGCGGAGATATTATGTAATCTTTAGTAGTTCTATTGGCTTATGTGCTCATTTCGTCTTGCTGCTAGACCTATCAAATCATTTTTCCTCCATACACCTGCTGACTATATAACCTATTGTATTGTGTTAATTAACCAGTGTTCACCAGGGAAACCCCTGCGTGTCACTCCATCAGCTGGTGTAATAAATCCTCCGCTTGTTTTCACCTGCATCCAGAGTGTCCTGGCTTATTTCCAACATTTTCCATTAAAAGCATTTTTGGAAAACAGGGTAAAGGTTATGATCTATTGAAAGTCAATTTTCTATCTAAATATATATATATCATCAATGCCTATGACATTATAAGAAGTGTGTTATATGACTGTGTGATGGGGCAATCAGGCCCCGCACAGATCGGGTCTTTTTTGTGGAAAACAAATCTCTGCTGTCTACACTGGCCCTTTTGCGCATAAGTTTTTCAGAAAAAGACTTTTGCCCGAACGGGAGCAGCATAGTATTTCCGCAAAAGCACTGACAATCTTACATGAGATCGTCAGTGCTTTTGCGGAAATTCAAGCGGCCAGTGTAGACAGCTGGCAAGTTTTTCCGCAAAAGCAGATGATTTTGCGGAAAAACTTGCCAGTCTAGACACAGCCTAGGGGTTGGCAAATGCCTGTTAAATGGCTTCATTACTTCTTAAATGACTCTTTCACAGGTTCAATGTTTTGCTAATATGTCTGGCAGGATTTTTCACTTTTATTTATTGAGATCCTTAAGGAAGGATCCTTGAGGAAGCAAAGCCACAGAACAGGGGTAGGAAGAGGCAGATGGGTGGACATTAAGACCCAGCAGTGCCTCAAATTTTCAGGGCTCTGACAGCAGAGAAAGACAAAATATGACCAGCGGACCACATCCAGTCCACCACACATTTGGATCTGGCCTACAGTATAATGTTGGGCTGTCAATGTACTACTGCCCAGGGGGATCCCCAGGCATAGCCTGCCATGGCCCCATATGCCACTCAAAGCCAAACCAGCCAATGGGAGCTGTGCAGCACATGGAGACCCGCTACCCTCCTCATCTCCAAAGGGCGTGCCACTCAGAGACACACATGTTGGCCCTACCAGCCAGCGCTTTGAATGGAATGTGGGGGCATGGCAGCCAGGGAGCCTGTCCTAAGGTCCTGCTGGGCTGCTGGCTGGGAGCTGCCTAATGTATGCACCTCCTGGCCAGAGCATGCACCTGGCACCCTACCTCCTCTCATATGCCAATTCCCTTCCCCAGGTCAACCCAAGCCCTCTGCATGCTCCCCTGCACTCCTGCCCCGGGTCATAATCCAACCCTCTGCACTCCTTCCAAAATTCCTCCCCCAGGTCAGAATCTTCTCTTGCACCCAACCCCCCCATCCAGACCCTACACTTCCTCCTGTATCCTAATCCCTTTCCCCAGGTCACAACTCCTTCCTTCACCCAAACTCTCTCTCAAACCCCATACCCGTTCCAACACTCCAATCAGAGTTCCCTTCTATACTCAACTTCCATTTCAGATTCCACACCACCTCCATTAATATAATAGAAAAGTGCAGCCTATAACCACTTACCAAGTTCTTGGAAGGATTCCCTATAACAAATTATTGCACACCTCCATGGTACTTGTTAATGACATAGTCTATACTAAAAGGACCACTGGTCAGAACTGGAACAGCAAGTTCTATGTTCCAATACCATATATTTCTTATATGGCCTAGGGCTGTTCCTGAAAAACCGAAATCAATAGCAATTTTGTCATTGGCTTTTGTGTGTAGATTAGGTCCAAGAGTCCAGGCATGGAAGAATTTATATACTATATGGCCCATAATACTGGACATATCTATAATGCAATAAAGTTGTTCTTGAGAACAGCACCCTAACTTACTTTGTTCAAGGGGATGCTTATGTATGTGACAAAAACCTAAACAGAAACAACAAAAACAGCAACAAAAGACATGTGGATTTATGGCAGAGGTGGTGAACCTTTTTGGGGTTGGAGACTGTGTCCCACAGAAAAACTCAGTTGGTGGCCTCACAGAAGTGAAGCAAAAATACAAAACAAAACAAAACAAAACAGCACTCCTCACTGACATCACCAACTGAGAAGGAGAAAGGCACTCCCCACATTCCACTCATACACTAGAACCTATGGTGGCCCAGGGTAGTAGATTTTGTGGTCTTCATCCCCATGGAGGGGCAGCGCGGAGGGGGGAGGGAGGCTGGAGTGCCAGGGCAGGCTCCCCAGTGCTGGGGGGAGCCCTGAGCCTCAGGGGCCAGATCCAGGCAAGCCAGGGGCCGAATTCAGCTCCCAGGCCTGACGTTCTGCACCCCTGTTTGATAGGTACATCTATCTTTTTGTCAAGATATGGATTCCTTGTGGTATCAAAATGCAGTACCCCAAAATGCATTTATGTTAATAATAATACATAACAATAATACTGAGATAAAAACAGGAGTGTATTAGACAGTCATAGAACAAATTGTACCAATCCTCCCAAATGGCAAAACCCTAAGCTGTTACCAAACAGCATGTGACACATTTTCACATATGATAAAAGCAACAAAAAGAGACTATAATACAACCTAGTTAATCAAAAAAGAACAGAAGGAATTGCTTTGGTTAAACAGGCTCAGCTGAATGGGAGTCATGGTAGCAGCATTATCAAAAATGTGCACAGAAGTAAAAGTGTTGCAAGGGCCAGCCAGATCATTTATTTTTATTACTGTCTTTAGATGGGGGTGATCTAAAAGACAGGGAAATGCCTTCAGGTTAACAGGAAGATTGGGATTCAAAAGATTCACATAAATAGCACTCTACTGTACTATTGTGTTTTCCCTGAAAATATTTTGTGTGGCTTATGGTGGAATACAAACTAGACACAACTAGACCATGAATAAGAATGAATGGGCAGAGCAGGTTGCAACTACCATGGCTCACAGTTTATGAAACCACAGAGAGAGATAGAGAGAGAGAGAGTTCTGTTCTTTGAATTAAGATGAATTTCAATTTCCCCTCTAGTGGTCCTTATGTTTTTGATCATATAAATAAGAAAGGCCTCACATTTCCCTAATATGGGGAAAGGATTTTTCAGAATTGTTGAGGTTTTCATTTAAGAATCTGCTTCCTTTCATCAATGCAAGCTAAGTTACTGAGGACCAGAATTTGAGGTCGTGGCCTTTGAATTCAGGGAAGGAGATAGATATTTCCACTTATATGACTTTAAAAATTAAAAACAAACAAACAAAATGTAGAGCTTTTGAAAGGTATGAGAAGAGTTTTAGAACAGCTACTCTCCTTGATTATTCTTATATTACATCACTGGATTTTTCTCCGCTTCCTTCCCAAATGTGAATTAGACAAGTCCCCTTTTATGTGCTAAATGTTTTGTGTAACTTACAAGAAAAAGTGAAGGGAGTGATTTCCCAGTTATGGAAGACACAGACCATAGGGTATTGAGGGTAGTACTGCAACAGAATTTAAATGAAAAGCTCAGGGCAGGAAACACCTTTCTCTCTATTTTGTAGAATGCCAAGAGCATTGTTGGTGTACATTAAATAATAAAAAATGAAAAGATGAAAGGGCCTGCAATATGCTTTATTTTTCACTTACAGATGGTGCAGAGCCCAGAAGTGTGACAAATTAGCAATATGAACCTCTACTTGAGCAAAGACTGGATACTCATTCACACTTCCATTTATTTTATCAAAGGAATGTGCAAAAGGTTATATTCAAACTGGTTTTTACATAGTAATATAATGATTAGTTACAAGTCACAGCAAGTGTGTTATTTGGATATATATTTACAGTTTTGTCATATCAGTTCCCCACGTGAGCTAATAAAAATTGGAGTGTATGACTTGAGACAAAGTTGCAGAAGAAATTGATTCTTTCTCTCCCACATACCTTGGTAGTTTGACAGGCTTCTCCTCCACCCGGGGTAGGAGATTATATATGCTTTCTTGGGCGCACAGCGCGGTCATCCTTGGCCTGAGCAGGCCCTGGGGGTGGTACATTGACATTGTACGTGCACCCTTCAGGTTTGCCCCCTCTCTCTCTTCTCTGCCATTTTCTCAGCCCTCCTTATCTCCCTCCACTTCTCCCGCCCCTCCCTCCTTGCCCCCCCCTCCTTTCCCCCCCCCCGCCGCTCTCATCTCCAGCGCTCCTGCGACTTCTCTCTTCGCTGCCCCCTCCTGGGACCCGCTCCCACCCTTCGCTCCAGCCCCCTGCCCCTCTGCGCCTCATTCCCTCCGTCCCCTTCACCCCTCGCTTCTCCCCGCTGCCCGCCCCCGCCGGGAGCTCCCCCCTTCCCTCACCCTGCTCCGCTTGCCTCGGCTGAGAAGATGGTTCTACCAGAGAGCTGCCTACTGTTGTCTCTTCCGTTGCTATGGGAAGCGTTGCTTAGCAACGCTGGTGTGGCGGGACTGGGCTATTTGTGACCTCATTTCCTTCTTCCTGAGCCCGCGAGTAGTTTGGGAGTGGGAGAGAAGAAAAAGATGGAAGCCGCGCACGCGCACTAAGCTGAGCAGCATGGGTGAGTCCCCCCCCCCAGGCGCTGCGCAGGCGCACTAGTATAGACCTAGGACGGGAGGCGGTGCCGCGGAGGGCGCCCCACACTGGGGAAATAATTGCGCACGCGCTGTTGCCCTGGAAGACTGCCGATGCGATGGCTGCGCATGCGCAGCCTAGAGGCGGGCGCGGTGGTGCCGCGGAGGGCGAGGTTGTGTTTGCACGGCGGTACTTTGAGGCTCACGTTGCTGCTAACGTGCGGGCTCTGAGCCGTGCGCCAGGCCCGGCGCGGCCCTGCCCTGCTGCTGGGTACGTCTGACCCTCAGTGACTCCGTTAAGGGCTCAGACTGAGTTTCTAGGGCCGCTGCCCGTCCTGGAGGGCGCTGCAGCGGCGAGGTAGCCGGATCCCTGGGCGAGCTCAAAGTCCGTGCGGTGCTGCCGATATCCCTCCGCCCCCGTAGGGATCCCTGTGGGGCAGCCGTAAACTCACCACATGGGGGGGGGTCCCTATAGCAGCGGGGGTTCGGCTGCCTTAGCTCCCCCTCCCCGCGCGGGGGTCCCCATTGCAGTGAGGAGCAGCATCCCCCTCTGCCTGTGACAAGGGGCGCTGCTGCGAGCGGCACTCTTGCCTCCTAGATGCCGCCCTGTTCCAGCCCCGAGAAGTCTTTGCCCTGGATGGGTGGTAGGGGGAAACTCGGGATAGTTACAGGGGCATAGTCTGGAAGGCGGTTTATTTTGAGGGGCGGTCTCTTCCCACACACTGTGTAATAGCTAACCTTTGCTTGCTTTCTGTTGGTTTAATTTTTTTTCACGTGAACCAGAGAATGTCACCAGGACATCCTTTATTTTGAACTGGTAGCTTGCAGTCATTGTAAACACTTCAGACCTATAGCACCATGCTTGGAGCTCCCTATTTCGCTTTCTTTTCAGGCTGGCAACCCAGTTTTTGAAAACTGTTGCAACCCTCTAACACTTTCTATAAGTGTCAAAATGTATCTGTGATCATAAACCTATGAAATTTATTGTGTGTGTGTTTGAAGAGCTTGGCAGAAAATAGGGTGCGTCTATACACTCAAAATAAGATTTGCTTATCTTATTTCAAGTCTATTTCAAACTAGCTTATTTTGAAATTTGGTGCATCTACACAGCGCCAAATTTCAAAATAACACACTTCTTGGAGACCTCCGGGAATGACGGTTACATGGATGTCGAAATAGCATGCTCATTATTTTGAAAAATATTTTGAAATAATGGGTGGCTTGTTAAAACATGGGGTAGCTATTTTGAGATACCTCCGGTATCCTGATATAGCTGCTCCGTGTAGCTGTATCCATAGATAACCTGGAGGAGTATGGGTATGAAGGAGTGAGACAGTAGAAGAGGGTCACCTATGCAAACTCAAAAACATTGAAGATTTTGGCCCCAACATTATTCTGGAAACTTTCTTTGCTTTAGAATTTTAATAAAATGTTCAGTGCCTCACAATCCCTTTGATTGTATTTGGTGACCTCCCTTTGAACTGTGACCTTCCAGTTAGGAAACATTGCTCTATGTCAAATAGTGATAGAAATGTAGCCGTGTTAGTCTGGGGTAGCTGAAGCATCTTGTTAGTCTTTAAAGTGCTACATTGCCCTGCATTTTGCTTCTGCTCTATGTCAGCGTTTCTCAAAGTGGTCCACAGATCCGCTCTGAGAAACCTGTTAACTGGCCACTCCGGTTTGTTTATTTACTGGCTCTGTAGCCACAAAGCCTTGTGGCCCCCATTGGCTCTTGTTCACTGCTTGCAGCCAAGGTGAAGCAGCGTTGGTTGGGCCACCACTTCTGGTGGTTCCCGTTGGCTGCAAACAACAAACCAGAGCTAATGGGAGCTGTGAGGCTCTGTGTCTGCAGCGCTAGTAAATAAACAATCTGGAGCAGCCAGTTAGCAGGTTTCTCAGTGTATCCGTGGACCTCTTTGAGAAACGCTGCTCTGTGTCATTACTTTTATAGTGCTCATCACCACAGTACTTTAATATCTACCTATTCTTCTACTTACCTCCTCTATATAATTTGTAATAATTTAAACTGCCATTCCATTTATGAGTTTTCATTTAGGTCCGCTGTTTCCTATCTTCCTTGTGTTTGTGCATAGTTCTTTTTAGTAATAATTCGTATCCTTTTTTTATTTTAGAACTACTACATATTCTGCCTCATTCTATATGTTAGAAGTACATGTTAGATAATTTTAATTAAATCAGAACTTTACATTTGGCTCTTTCCAGATATTTTAAAGACTGCTTAATAAATGCGTTCTAGCTTTGAATCCCAGAGATTTATACCCAGAGCAGCCCCTGTTTGAGCCTCCCCCCTGTTCTGCCCATGGTGAGTGGTGTGCTGCTCCAACCCCCATCAGCCAGCTGGTTATTTTAACCTTTCACATCCCTGAATTATAGTATATTGAAAAACAAACAAAACCTCCTAAGTGTATCCTGGAATCTGTTGTGTCCATTTTCTGCTTTTTTTTTTTTCAGTGCAGGTAACACCACCCCGCTTTGGACTTACATTCCCACATTTTTTTTCCCCCTCTACTGAATAGTTCCATTTTGGCTGACATTTTGTAATATCCCTGATATTGCTTTAGGATGTGAAAAGCTCCTCAGCTTATCCTTTTATGTCGCATTGTAAAACATCACATAAGCCTGCAATTATATACACACATATACCCCCACCCCAAAAAAATTACATTAAAAGAAAATTAAAGTTGAAATTTTCAGTAATGAGAATTTAGGAAGTGCCAAAATTAAGATTCTGTGCATCCTTAGTTTGGTCCCCTCGTCTGTGCATTGTGATATGGTCTTTAATTTTATGATCATGTATTTTACCACAAGACCCCAGCCTCATTCAATGCACAGGATAAATGGTGTTCACTGAATGGATACCTATTCAATATTTGATTGTATCTTGGTCGTTCAATGTATGACTCCATGGCACTTAATACTGCACACCCTTCACAGTGTGCTCTGAATATATTTATTCATTCTCTCATGGGCTTTGTTATGGTGTTCTTCAGTTAAGTGTCTGAGGTCCCAAACCTGAGGTATTTAGACTTCTCATTGAAGTCAGTGGGAGTTAGGCATCTAAATATCTTTAAAAGTCTTGGCCTGAGTCCTTCTCAAACATTGATACATTTATCTTCACATCTCAGTGGTTAGGTAAAATGGCAGTATTGTGCCCATTTTACAGATAATTAACTGAAGCATAGAGATTAAGGTCAGAAATGTCTGCTAACTTTGATTGCCCAATGTGAGAAATCTAGGGTTTGATTTTTAATATTAATGTGGCATTCTATAGCACTTTGTTTGCTCAGAGCAGAATTCCCATTGAATTCAGTTACAATTATATGTTCAGCACTTCTGCAAATTAGGAACTAGGTATCTCAAGTTACACACTCAAAGAACAAGGAAAAACATCAATAGATATTCATAGATTCTAAGGCCAGAAGGGATGATTATAATTGCCTTATCTGACTTACTGTACAGCACAGGCTATAAAACTTAATATCTAGAACATACCTTTTAGAAAAATATCTAATCTTGATTTTAAAATGTCCCATGATGGAGAATCCACATGGCACTTCGTAAATTGTTCCTGTAGCTAATTACCACCACGAATAAAGAGTTACACCTTGTTTTCAGTCTTAATTTGTCTAGCTTCCACTCCTAGCCATTGGACAGTGTTATATCTTAGGACAGTTTTATGTGCTGCATGGGGAGTGCACATGGAGCCACATGCATCCCCAAAGTGAGAGGCCAGAGCCAGCTAGAAGGGGGAGGGCCGGGGCCAGCAGCAGAAATCTATGCTGTTGACTCCCTCCGCACTCACCAGTTGTGATGGCAGGGAAAGTGCAGGCTAGGTGGCTATGGTCAAACAGTGGGACTGTCTCACTGCTCCCCAGAAGCGGTGCAGACAGGCCATCTTGCACTGTGCTAGTCACTGGTGAGTGAGTGTGGGTGTGGGGGGGGAGGTGGGAGTGCAACCTCCTGCTGCTGGAACGGCCCTGCAAGTCCCCTGATGAGTCCATGCCATCCGCCCCCCCCACACACACACACTGGTAGCAGTGGTGTAGAAAGTGTTTCTGGCCACTTCTGCTTCTGGGGAGTGCTGGGATGGTCCCATCCTTCCCCCAGGTTGGCATGGCCACAGACCTCCTCCTGCACCTTCACCATGTGTTGCGGTGGTAGGAGAGAATGCTATGGTCTCCTGCTGCTGGCACAGTTCTACTAGACCTTTGGGCTGCCTGGGCAGGAGAAGAGTCAGAGTGGAGAGGGGCATGGGTTGAGCAGGAGCAGAAAGAGGTGGTGCCTGGGGCGGAAGGGGGTTGACCCAGCCCTTCGTGCTGGGAAACTGGTCAATGGGCGCTGAAAGATTTTTCTGGGGTGTGGGCAGTGCAGCATAATGTCTCAGCTCCTAATGGCCTGTTTCTGGCCAATAGAAACTGAGAGATTTTGCTGGGGCTGGGGGCAGTCAGAGAAGCCTCTCCCCCTAGTGCAGAGAGCAACATGGAACAGCCAGCTGGGGGCTGCTGGCAGGCATGAAAGCCTGTTTGAGAGTGTTGCTGGCTGGGAGCTGCTTAGGTAAGCATATCTTGGATAGAGCCTGCCTCTGGCATACCACCCACTCCCACACCCAACTCCCACCCAGACCCTGGCCTGCACTCATTCCTACATCCCTCCCCCAGGTCAGAATCTTATCCTGCATCCCAATTCCCTGCCTCAGATCACAACTGCCTCCTTCACCCAAACTCCCTCCCGACATCCTCTCCTGCACCCCAGACGCATACCCCGGGCTCCTTTCTGTACCCAACCTCTGTCCCAGACCCTTCCCTAGAAAAGTGCAGACTTTGAACACTTATGAAAATCTTGTCAAGTGGTCCCTTGTCAAAAATTATTTCCCACCCCTGCTTTATAATGAACATCAGATGAAACTTCCAGACTTGGTATTTAAGAACTCTAAATTGGGTTGGTTTACTAATTTGTTCTCATTGAGGATTACTGGCTTGTGTGTTTTTAAAAAATGTGGATGATCATTTTTTGAGTGACACACTACATTTTACATAACCCTTGAGGACTTCCTCTGGCAATCAATAAAACTTTTGCTGTTTCAATCATGGCCAGTGAATGCCACCCAGGATATGCACTCATGTGGAACTTACAGACTGCATGGAAGAGATAGCAACTAGGACAAAGAATCTTTTTGATTCTAAAGAACTAACCTGCAAGCTCCTTGTTCCTGTGATTCTCTGGGGTGTTAGGTCTTCCATTTTCCATGCTCATTATAACCAATATACATGTTCATATCCAGTCCACAGCTATGAATCTCCAAACATTTACTGCTGTCTACTATTTCACTATATGCCCCACAATCAAAGCAGCTTTCTGCAGTATATTTAAAACTCTTCCATCTGCTCATCTCTGTATAGTGGTTTAAAAAACAATCCATACACTTAATTTTATTTCTCCATGTTAGTCTGTAGTGTTGTCATCTGCCTATAACAGATACTTAGGGTATGTCTAGACTACAGGCTTTTGTCGACAGAAGTTTTGTCGACAGATACTGTCGACAAAGTTTCTGTCAACAAAGAGCGTCTAGACTACATTCAGTTCTGTCGACAAAGCAAACTGCTTTGTCGACAAAACCCTGTAGTCTAGACACAACCCTAGATGCAATAACACCTTCTGTCGACAGAACTCTGTCGACAAAAGGCGTTATGCCTCGTAAAATGAGGTTTACCAGCGTCGACAAAACTGCTGAGTTCTGTCGACGTTATGTCGACAGAACTCAGCGGTAGTGTAGACTCAGGTATAGTTTTGTCGACACACCCTTACTCTGTAGTCTAGACACACCCTTACTATAGTCTAGACACACCCTTACTCTGACCTCATCTTGTCTATAAATACTGGGCAGAGATCAGAGTGTTTCATTCTATAAAACAGGCAATGTAAACTATGTAACTTTGCCTGTTGCAAGTAAAAAAGAATGAGGAATCAGTGTGTGCAACGCAATATATTATTTTTTATTTTTTTATTTAAAATATGAAAAGTAATTGTAATATTTATTGTAGCCACAAAATAGCTAGTGCAGAATGTATTATAGATTACAAGACCAGACATAAATTTGTATAAACTTTTTTTTTTTTAATTTCTAGAGTTTCAAATGTTGGATTTTGAAAAAAAGTTCTAGGTAGTATATTTTAGTATATTTACTTTAAGATTATTTATACAATTATAAATTCAGAATTGCCTTTATGAAGTCTTTGTTCAGGATTAGAATTTATTAGTATACCTCCCATTTTCATGTATTATTAGTTAGTAAAGCATTATTTTCGTCTGAAATTTTCTGGCATTCTGCATTATGCAAAGACACAAAAATTAGTGGTCTGAAAATTAATGAAGCATTTAAATATAATGCTATTAAGCAAGTAGGCAGAATATTGGCACCAAGACTGAATCCTTAAAATCTAATTAGGAACAGCTGGGTCCAGTTTTGCTTTTGAATAAAAAAATCTGTGCAAAAACCATCCCAAAAAAATCACAGCTGACCTCACCTATTCTGTGTCAGCACAGTAGAGTTTTTGTTTTGATTTGTTTTGTTTTTTAGTTATTGGAAGTTATTTTTTAAAACTACTGCTAATTTTGTTTTATGTAGGTTTGAGGACATTTTGTTTTCATGGCTTTAACTATGTATAGGTTATGGGTAATTTTAAAAAAATGTTATCTTGAGTTAAGTGAGTTAAATTTTTGGCCTGGAAAATAAACACTGGTCAATTTGTAGTTTTAAAAAAAAAGTTCTTAGCAGTTTTAAATGGGGGTGTCAAGTTAAACAGTTTTTAACTTGTCAATCAATTAAAGGGGTAGTGGGTAGGAGAGAGAGCCCACCCACCACAGGCAGGTTCTGCAGGTCTTGTAGGGCTGGAGCAGCCCCTTGCCTGAGGTGGGCAGGGAGCTGCTCCAGCCCCCACAGATTAACTGGAACCACTAAGCATTCCCTGTTAAGGGTAATGCTTTCCAGTTAACCTTTCACATTTCTAGTTTTAATGTAGCTTTTCCAAACATGGTCAGTAATACCATAGCAATTGTAAATATCCAGTATTGCTACTGCCTTTCATTGCAAGAATGACCTCAAAGTCTTTAGTAACCACAAATATATAAATTATAATTTTTTAGATTCATTATAAGTTCCCCAAAGAAACTGTGACAACCATGTTTATTTTAGCTAATATCCATTAGGAAATAACAGTAACAGAGTTGCAGGTTTTTTTCTTGCATACAATGAAAAGAGGACCTTTGTGCAGTTTTGTGCTGATTGTTTCATTTTTGTGCAGGTTTTGACTACTCCTAAACATCACACAGAATTTTTGCTGTGCAATTCATGTTGACACTGGCACTGATTTTCTAAAACAAGCAAAACAGGATACTGTTATTGAGAACAGCTTGATTTATCCAGTATTTCAGTGTGCTCTCACTGCAAGGTTATACTTAGAATAAAGTCACTTCACTTTATTTTCTTTAAATATGTTCAGTCTACAGAAGGTGTAAAATCAAATAGGATTCCACACCAGGAATACTTGATGCTGTTCGTTTGGTGTCATGTCTACTTAGAAGGGAATTGGATGAGCTAGAGCCAGAATTATTACAGTAGGTTCATAAGTTTTCCATACGTTTTTCCATACGTTTCCATGGGTTGTGTAGCATTCCCATTTTATTGTCTTAAAGAATAAAACAAAACCTAAACCATAGACATGTAGGACAGATATTTATACCAAATAAGATTGTGAAAAGGTAAACATTTAGTCAGTCTTCATTGTCAATAAGGAGCTATGTAGGGTTAAAAACAAATCTGTGCTATTAAGGAAACAATTGTTCAATTACTAACAAGCAGCAAGTAGCAAATAAACATGTTAGTATACACTTCAGAATTATAGCATTAAGTTTTGAGGGGTTCTCTTGACAGCCAACAAATCTTATTTATCCTGAGGATATCGGACTCAAAGATCACTACTGAATGTGCATTCAATACCTACTGTTTTGCACTTATAAGCAGAATTACTCAGAAACAACCCTTAGCTGAGCTGAATGATAGAGGTAGGGCACTCAGAAAGAGACTTGTGTAATACAGATCCCCTTCCTTTTGGGACTGTGCCAAAGACATCAGATCTGAGAAACTGGGTTTTGGGTATCTGGTAACATCTTTAGAAATCCTGCAACATTTCAACATTAAAAAAAATGCACTAAATTTTGTATTCAGGTGTATGGGGGGGAGAGTATTTACTAAAATCTTGCAGTGCTGAAGAATTCATCACTAAAAGTGAGATGGTACTTTTTAAAAGGTCAGGATTTATTATTTGAATGAAAAATATTTATCCCTCCAGCATTGAGAGGGACCTTTTTTTTTATTATTATTTTCAGTTTCCAACTCTTTTAAATTATTCTTCTATTAATTACTAATTACCTTTTTTTTTTTCTCTTTAAAGCATTTAAGTTACTTGTCAAGTTGGCTTGAAAAAGCAGAAGATGTTTCATGTTCGGTATCAGCATCTAAAATTAATAAGCCAGAACATTAGTTCTAGTGTACATCTAAAGTTGATTTTTCCAAGAACTCTTGCATTTGCACAACTATGGAAGTCATGGCTCTCAACTCTCTCTTTTGTTGGAGATCAGAATATTGTCCTGATGGGACCTCCTGGAGCTGGGAAAACAACAGTTGGGAGAATAATAGGTCACAAACTTGGCTGTCGTGTCATAGATGTGGATGATGATGTCCTTGAAACAACCTGGAATATGAGTGTGTCAGAAAAATTGCAGGATGTTGGTAGTCAGCAATTTATAGAAGAGGAAGGAAAAGCCCTGTTAAAGTTTTCAGCATCTGGAAGTGTAATTTCCCTTTCTGGGTCTAATCCAATGCATGCTGCCAGCATGCAGCACGTGAAGAAAAATGGGATTGTTGTGTACCTTGATGTACCCACTAAAGACATAATTAATAGGCTGGAATTAATTAAAGTGGATCGTGTAGTGGGGCAGGATTCTGGAAATTCTATAGGAGACATACTTCAGTTTAGGAAGCGGTTTTATAAAAAATGGTATGATATCCGTGTTTTTTGTGAACGTGGACTTACAGCAGTGGCTGTAGCAAATAAAGTCCTTGATGCAGTAAAGAGATATCAAGATACGGAATCAGAAACTTTTATTTCAACCAGACATATAAGGTCTGAAGCATGTGAGCAAAAAGGCTCTGTTAAATATTTCACTGACGCTGTTGTTGAGGGTCTAGCATCTGATGGTGGACTCTTTGTTCCTGAGAAGGGTCTTCCAACATTCACTGCTGGAGAATGGCAAAGCTTAGTAGAAGCAACTTATGTTGAAAGAGCTCTGATTATATTGGAAAGATTTATACATCCAGCTGATATACCTGCTTTCAAACTGGGAGAAATCGTTGAGATTGCTTATGGAGAAAACTTTACGTGTTCTAAAATTGCCCCTCTTAGGCATCTGACAGGCAACCAATTTCTTCTTGAGTTATTTCATGGACCCACAGCCTCATTTAAGGATTTGGCATTACAGTTGATGCCTCATCTATTTGCATACTGTGTTCCCAAAAGATGCAATTACTTGGTTTTAGTAGCTACTTCTGGAGATACAGGCAGTGCAGTCCTGGATGGTTTTAGTCGTCTTAGTGATACTGACAAGCAAAGAATTGCTGTGGTCACCTTCTTTCCTGAGGATGGAGTAAGCCAGATTCAGAAATCACAGATGATTGGCTGCCAAAGAGAAAATGGGTGGTCAGTGGGTGTCAAATCTGATTTTGATTTTTGCCAGACAGCTATAAAACAAATATTTACTAATTCTGATTATTCTGGCTTTCTTACTGTAGAATATGGAACAACTTTAAGTGCAGCAAATTCTATAAATTGGGCTCGACTACTTCCCCAAGTGATTTATCATGTTTCTGCCTACCTTGACCTTGTTCATCAAGATATTATTACTTTTGGAAGCCCAATAGATGTGTGTGTTCCTACAGGAAACTTTGGCAACATATTAGCTGCATTGTATGCAAAAAGGATGGGAATCCCTATCAGAAAATGTATTTGTGCTTCCAATGACAATAATGTTTTGACAGATTTTATAAGAACAGGTCTCTATGATTTAAGGGGAAGAAGATTAGTACAGACTTCATCACCAGCAATAGATATTTTGAAGTCTTCCAATCTTGAACGACATTTACATCTGATTGCTAGTGGTGATGGGCAGCTGGTGACACAATTATATAGTGACCTGGAAAATAAATGTCACTTTCAGTTGCAGAAAGATCTACTTGAGAAACTTCAGCAGCCTCAGGGGTCACTGGACGAGGAGGACTGTTTAGCTGCCATCCACTCTGTGTACAGTACTACAGGGTATATTTTGGACACACACAGCGCTGTTGCTAAAGTAGTTGCAGATCGATTACAAGATAGAACATGCCCAGTTATCATTCCATCTACAGCTCATTATTCCAAGTTTGCACCTGCTATCTTGCGGGCTTTAAGGATTGCAGAAATAAAACAAAATCCATTAAGTCAGCTTCACTTACTGAGTTCTTACAGCCCTTTGCCTCCAGTCCATAAGGGCCTGTTAAAGACATTGAAAGAGAATGAAAAGCAGAAACATCAGATCTGTGCTGCTGATGTGAGTGTCATGATGGAATATATAGAAACTGCAATACAAAAGAAGTTTATGAAAGTGTTCTAAGTAAACTTGCTTGGTATTTACTATACCAGTTTAAATATTTTCTTCACAAAAAAGTCACGCATTGATGCATAGTACACAAGGTCTCAAGTTTATATTCTGAGTACACTTTCTCATGTTCAGTTTAAAACACTTTAACATTGAATTTTTAAAATTGTTCATGAATGAGAGAATTCTAATGCTAATGGCAGCTGAAGAGATTGAGGGGCTCTTTTTCAGAAAAAAATATAGTATGGACAAATCAGTAGTATAGGTTTCTGCCAATGTGCCTCAGCCCTAATCTTGGAGGCAGCACATCTAAAGTGAAAAGGTAATCCTTTCTGAAATGGCTAACAAGTGCTACAATTGTTTGTTGTGTGTGTATGTTAAGTGCTTTGAGTACTTGTCCACTGGGAATTTAGCTAAACATTACACTCATTACACCTGAGGCACTGCGGAGCCTTCAGATGTAATAACAGCTTCCATCTTCTCTTCAGCTGGGATACATTTAAATTGGAATCCTTGAAGTAAAATTACCTATATCCTATTATCCATACAATATTTCAATATACCTTCTCTTAATATATTGCTTTTGTATTGACCGTAGCTGAAGTTTTTTATATAATCATGTATTCTTGTTCTCCATCAAAGATTTTTTCTTGTCATGGGGGCAGTATTTTGCCTTATCAAATAAAAGCTTTTCGTCTGTTTTATGACCTTTTAAAGTATATTTCTTCCCTGAATGTTCTTGCAGCTTCCATTAGCTTCTGCTGAGGCTTTGTTGAGGTCACAAGTTTATTGCACCATCTTATCTAACAGTAAAGGATAGTAATATCAGAGGGCTTCTTGGATAAATGTAAATGAAAATACTCAATTGTTGAATTATCATCTTTGTATTACATTTTGTGTTGGCGTTAGGGACCCCATAGGCTTTGGGAAGTATTTAAAATTACTTTTACTTAACATGTCAATTTTCTCCTCTGATTGAGTAACTTTTGTGTAGCTGAGAAACCACAGAAAATAATTATCTGAAGATTGAAATTAAAATTAAATGCTTCTAAATGCAAATCTATTTTAGGTTACATGGTCAGGAGACCTTTTCTATATCAGCTAATAACTAGTGGTTTAACAGATTTTTTTGCATCAAAAATAATAGATATGAATGTCAAAGTTTTTTGATCATTTTACCTTATCTACTAATTGTAGATTATATTTGGCAACCAAGGGTGTAAAATTTAAGTACTTGTTACATAATATAGTGTGCTTTGTGAAAATATAAGCTGATTGAAATAAGAATAGTTTGTATATGTTGTATCATACCTAATACAAATAATAGCATTTCATGTCTAATAAAGGTGTATCCAACTACAAAGTTATGTGTGCACGTGTAATATATATGTAGTTGTTTCTTTTTCCTTGCCTTTCTATTTCATAGCTTTTCAGGACATTTTTTTCTATTAGTTTTTTCCTTTTTTTTTTTTTAAAGTTATTTTTCATTTTGCCACAGTAATGCTAGAATCACATTTTGTTTTCTTGTCTTCAGAAACAAAGCCTAAAATAAGCAATGAAATGCAAAATGCTGGGCTTTAATGCAGCACGTTATTGGTCTTACAAAAAGGTAGTGCAAGTTTATTATTGAAAAGAAGGTTGATTGTGCATTGTGTTAGAGCATGAATACCCTTTTACTTCTGGAGCTCTGAGTTTGAATTTTCCCTTTAGTTCCAAGTAACAGTAAATGTGATTGTCTCACTGTATGTGCCATTACAAACCCTGTACTGTTATAAACTAATATAGATGTTTAAGGATAGGGTAGACTGGGTTGCAGCACTGAAACTCAGGCCATTGCTAAATCTTACCTTAAACTGTAATGTAATAATGTGGTAAGAGAAACTTGATTTAATGAACAATATATAGCACAACCCTTCTTCCCTCCCACCACCAACAGATTCTAAGATTAGGCTAAAAGCCTGTGTAAAACTGGTGTAGTTGATTTATAATGGGAATAAGATAGCAGCTATACTCAACATAACAGAAGTATTTTTTAGGATAGTGTTAGTTTGATTAATGCCAGTATTTCAAAGCTCACAGAAGTACCTCAAATTTGGTTGATTATTGAAAAAAAAAATCAACCAGATTGCTAGATAACAATTCCTGTGATATGAACTCATCACAGGTGACACTGTTTTATGGGAGGCAGGGGCTAAGAACAGAATGGATTTTGAAATGGAACATTTAATTCTCTTGTGCTTATGCCATGTTTACACTAAAAAGTTAGGCTGTCACTCAGGGGTGTAAAGAATTCTGCTGTCAACCTAGCTACTGCCCCTCAAGGAAGTAAATTAATTACAGCCATGGGAGAACTCTTCCCTGGCTAGAGTGAGTGTCTATGGTGAAGTGCTACAGCAGCACAGCCGCAACATTTCTAGTGAAAACATAGCTTCATACTTGGAACTCTGAAATTAAGGTAGAGAGACACTAGATAGCTTTCTACTGCTACTGATTGTGTATTACCTGTTCTGGCAATAGATTAACATGAGAGAATAAGTTTCTCAAGCTGTCTAGTACCTTTCATGAGTATAAATTCACTCAAAAACCAAACAAACCAAAAAACCCAATGCATTTTCACTTTCATTTCATGCAAGGTTCCCTGAAACCTATTTAGTGTTACAAATACTGTGATGTACTATTAGTGATATGCAATAATTTTGTTTTCACTTCAACTGGGAAAACTATACATTTATAGTATTTGCAGGAAAACATAATGTCAACATTGTGATGTGCAGACAATATCAATACTCTCTAGGCCTGGGCTGCACACACGTTGAACTGGTTTAAATAAAGATGTGATGTTGGAAATCAATTTGATACAAGCCAGGATTACATCGATGTAAGAGCATCTACATGTAAAGCTGGTGTGACTCTGGTTTCCCTAAACTAGTGTAGCATCACAGTTTTCATTAAACTGTTACAACTTCTTAGTGTAGATGAGCATCTGTTGAGCCACTGGTCTTTCATGGAGAACTTTGAAGGACAATCAATGTTCTGAAATGTGATTTGTCCTTTTCATATGTGTTCATTTTTTTTTAATTGTATCCTTTGGTATATATGGTTGTGACTATTTTCTTCCACTATTTGATCTGAGGAAGTGGGTCTGGCCCACGAAAGCTCATCTAATAAACCATCTTGTTAGTCTTTAAAGTGCTACATTGTCCTGCATTTTGCTTCAGCTACCCCAGACTAACACGGCTACATCTCTACCACTAATCAATACAATGTTTGTATTGATTTTTTTTTAGCGTATGGGTATTTGCATGTAATCATGATATGTGTTGCTTAGTAACTGACCAACTGCTCATAACTTTTCTTCAGTCATAATTCTGTTTCTTTTTTCAATTGCTACTACCTGCAATACCACATTTGAATAAAAGAAAGAACAGCAGAATCAAACCGATTTCTAAGGGGCAGACCTGATTTCATTCAAATGCCTTAGTAATAAAAATGCTAATTTTTCATATACTATATGTATGCATTATATAAATTGTTATATTTTATCAGAATTGTCTCTATATAAAACATCAGTTTAAAAAAATCTGCATTACTCAGGGAGATCAAGATCATAAATAATTATTTAACAAATTATGTTCTCTACTCTTCTTGTACTCTTACATATCTGTTCCTATTCACTATACAGGCAGTCCCCAGGTTACGTACAAGATAGGGACTGTAGGTTTGTTCTTAAGTTGAATTTGTATGTAAGTCGGAACTGGTACATATTGTTGGGGAAACTCTAACCAAACATTTCTCCAGAGCTCAGTTTTATTCTCCCACACCTCACTTCCCTCAGTCCTTTATTCTCAAGCTGAGGTATCTGTTGAGAAAAGAGGGGGGCGCTAGCTTCGCGTCTCCCTGGTCTGCTGGGGGGAAGCAGCTAGTGCGGGGTTGCCTCACCCCATTTGTAAGTAGGGATCCGATGTAAGGGGCGCAAGAATTGCTCAGGCCGGCCCTGGTCACTAGGCGGGCGCACATAAATGCCCCGACGGGCGCCATGGCACCCACGGGCACCGCATTGGGGACCACTGATGTAGGTGATATGCTTAAAAAACAAAAACTGGTCTGGTAGCACTTTATAGACTAACAAAACATGTAAATGGTATCGTGAGCTTTCGTGGGCACAGCCCACTTCTTTAGATGACTGGAGTTTTGAGTTTAGGATGTGAAGACCCAAAATAAATAAGGGAGAAGGGTGAAGAAAAAAAGGAGGGGAGGCGGAAAACAAGTTTTTTCCCCTCCTTTTCACAGAAATATTTTATTTGTTTTGTGTTGTTTTATTTATATTATGGTAGCAGCTAGAGAGCTTGATCAGGATTGGAAGCCCAGTGTGCTGGATGCTTTGCTCTGGAAATCATGTCAAAAACATCATATAGAGAAAATAATTTAACGGTAGTTCGAACTAGCAAGCCTAGTTCGAACTACCTAGTTCGTGCCCCGTGTAGCCGCGCGGCACAGGGTTCGAACGAGCGGGGTTTTAAAAATGGCGGAGCCCCGCTTATGCAAATGAAGCCCGGGAAATTCAAATCCCGGGCTTCATTTGCAAGTGTGGTATGCCTACATTACCCCGCTAGTTCGAACTAGCGGGGTAGTGTAGACATACCCTCAGTGACTTATGACCACACACTGCCTCCTTTCCTTCCTCTTGTTCCCTTTATATTAGCAGCTGCGTAACTGGAAATGCATAAGTCAAATATATAATTATACAAAATCAGGCAACAACAATATGGCTCATCAGTTTCTCATTTAATTATATATATATTGTGATGGTTTGTATCCTTTCATTTTGAAAAAAATAGAAGAACAAGAAATGTAGTAGGGCAATGGATAGGAAAATGTTATCCTTTAAGTTGAATATAGTTAGGCCCATGAGCCTAGCTGCTCTTTCAGCAGCAGTGTGTGGTCCAATAACTACTTTCTTAAGAACAGCCATACTGGGTCAGAACAAAGTTCCATCTAGCTCAGGTTGGCTGCCTACCGCATGTGTGCCATAAGTAGTACGTGAGCCAATTTTCAGTGGCACGCACAGCGGGAGCTCAGCCCCATCCCTCCTCCCCTGTGCAGCCGCTAGAGCCCTCTTCCCTGGCAGCAGGTTAGGTTGTGTTGGGAGAAGGCAGTACTGTGGCTGAGAGTCCTCAGCGATGCCTCCAGGGCCAGCCCGGGACTGCATGTCAATGGTAGTGGCACCTCTGGGGCCAGCCCGGGACTGCGTGGCTGTGGCAGTTGCTGTAAGGGGGCACAAAGCCAGGTAAGCCTCCCCCCTCATGCTCAGACCCCTATACCCCAATCCCCCTCACTCACTTCCCTCCCCTCTCCCCCTGCCAAGCTCCTGC